GTTGGGGCGCTCTGGCACTGGGGCGCTCTGGCACTGGGGTGCTCTGGCACTGGGGCGCTCTGGCACTGGGGCACTCTGGCACTGGGGCGCTCTGGCATGGGCTCCACTTCTGCCAGTGTGGGCTCCGCCTCAGTCACACGCCTCCTGCCATCTGCTGAAGACAAGGCTCTTTGCTCTCTGACCAGGTTTCCCATTTCTCTGTTGCAAACCTTACATTCTTTCCTCATGGAGCCTGCCTCCATCTCCCCTTCTGGAGCATTCTCTCTTCTTGAGCTCTCCTAGTACATATTTGCCTATTTCTTAAAATAAAAATAATCCCCCCTTTTTTGTTAATCCTCACCTGAGGCTATCTTTCCATTGGTTTTTAGAAAGCGTGGAAGGGCGGGAGGGAGTGGGGGTGGGGATGGAAAGAAATTGATGAGAGAGACAATTCAATTTGTTGTCTTCTGTACACACCCCAACCAGGGCCAGGGATCGAACCTGCAACCCAGGTACATGCCCTGGACCGGTAATTGAACCCATGACCCTTCGTTGCTAAGGCCAATGCTCTAACCATTGAGCCCACTGGCCAGGGCTCTTACAATAATTTCATCCTCTTTATTTAATGGTAACCTCCTGGGAGCTGGGCTGTGTCTTGTTCTTTTCTGTATTTTCCCACAATGTGATAGGCAATAAATAGCATCTCAAAAGATATTTATCTATCCTGGAAGTGGAAACGGTGGGTGTCAGTGACAGCAACGTGTGCTGGGTGTTCAGAGCACCTTTGAAGTGGGAAGACATGTGCAGCGTTTCCCGTGTTTGTATCAGGTTGAAAGATGCCTATGAAACCATCGCAGTGAAGAGGTGAACGGCACAGCTCAGCACTGGGGCGGAGGGTTCAGGAGTCCTGCTTGAGTTGGAAGCTTGCCCTGTTTTATTCCTGTGGAAGCTTCAGCAAGATATTTAATGCTCTAGATTTCAGTTTTCTCAGCTGTAGAGACAACATGTGTCCAGTGCCTGTAAAACACACCCTGTTATTTTATGTCCTACCAAGAAAGAGAGTGCTGTCAGGTCCACAGGACACAGCGCGCTCCGTGGCTTAGACTTCTGTTTTATACTTACTGAAATCGTTTTTAGATGTATGTAGGCTTTAAAAAAATCACATAGCGTCACTCTTTCAAAAGGAAAATACAAAGAAAGTGAACGGGGTAAAGTTCCCTGAAATGTCTCTCTATTCAGAGTCTGAGTTGTGAAATCCATTCCCAATCAAAGTAGTCGAGACTCCAGGTTTTGTCCCCGCCCTCCCGTGAAGCTGCTGGTAATGCCATTTTCCCTCCAAGAACAAACTGCTGTTTTCTGCAGGATTTTCTGCCAAGGCCCTGCCACTGTTCTTCAAGTTTTAGATGCTTGTGCTTCCCTGACCTTACAAGCCTGTGCCAAGAGAAGGTTTTCAGCAACACCCAGGACTGGAATGGCCCTTAAGTGGTTTGTATATGGAAACACCAGGGGTTTGCCGTGGTCAGCCAGGCCACCAAGAATGACAGTCACATGCTGACATGTTCATCCGGACTGCCTCCTGGCTAATAGTGATTGTAAGACACAGCCCCGGATCAGAGATGTAAACATGTGTAAAAAAAAGTGCATCTTAGAATAGATAATATAAGGCATTACCTCCCTCCCAGGTTGTGGTGAGATTTAAAGGAAAAAAGGTTTGTAGCTGTTATTGTGATGATGGTTATAAATTCCTAGGAAACGTGATGGAACCCTCCCATAACAGTAACTGTTGCTAATGGAGCACTCATTAGTGTGGTGTATTTATGCATGCATGCTATGATTTTCACATTTACATTTTCCCTAATATATAGGGCGGGGCAAGCGTGGGTTTACAGTTGTGAGTACACAAAACACAGAGTTCACTCTTGTATTATTATTTATTAATTATTGTATTATTTTCCATAAAATAACTTAACCATACTTGTGCCCAACCCTGTATTTTTCCTTTTTTTTTTTTTTATAGAGGTGTGGTTTCCATTCGGTAAAATGCCCAAATCTTGAGTGTCTAGGTCTGTGAATTTTGACACCTGTGGTATCAGCAATCCTATGGAGATATTTTCATTACCCCAGAAACCTCACCCTGTGCCCCCTTCCCACTCAGCACACTCCACCCCCACCCTTCGCCATCAGCTCTGCCTGTATCTTCCCCATGGGTCAGCGTTGCCTGTTCTTGGACTTGTACCAGCGGAATCGTGTGGTGTGCACTCTTTTGTGCCGCTTTTTTGGAGATGGTTCCGAATCACCGTGTGTCTGAGAGGTGGTGCCTTTCCTCGCCGAGCAGCTGCCCCTGGGTGGATGTCACTGCTGGGCACTCATCTTGCTGGGCACAGGGGCTGCTTCCGGTTTGCAGCTGTCGTGAGTGGAGCCGCTGTGAACGTGGAGCACAGCGTCTGATGACATGTTTGCATTTCTCAGGAGTAAACACCGGGCGTGGAATGGATGGATCCCGGGATAGGGGTGTGTTTCACTTCAGAGCAGCTGCAGGGCTTTGCTCGAAGTCGCACCAGTTGACACTCCACGTGACAGCTGGGAGCACCACGTCCTTGCCCCGCAGTTTCAGTCCAGTGGATTCCAGCCATTTGAACGGTTTTGCGGTGGACTCTGCGGTTTTAATTTGCATTTTCTGGTGACTACTGATCACCAACACTTTTTCACATGCTTATCAGCCATTTGTGTATCTCACTTTGTAAAGTGCCTGTTAAATCATTTGCCCATTTCCAGTAGGGTTATTTGTGTTTTGATTGAGTCGTAGGATTCAAGTCCTTTGTCAGATATGTGTATTGCGGATGGTTTCTCCGACTTGCCTATTCATTTTTTTAATAGTATTTTTTGATAAGTCGAGGTTTTAAAATTTTGATGAAGTCCATTTATTCATTTTTTTCTTTTACAGTTAGTGTTTTCTGTGCCCTGTCCAAAATTTGTGCCTACTCCCAAGTCAGAAAGGTATTCTGTATTTTCTCCCGGGAGCTTTATAGTTTTTGCTTCTGCAGTTAGGTCTGTGACCCATCTCTAATTAAATTTTGTGTATGGTTTGAGGTGTGGATGAAGGTTGATGTTTTCCCCCATTCAGCTAGCTCGTGTTCCAGAATCATTTGTTGAAAATACTTTCTGTTCCTCATTGACTTGCTTTGGCACTTTGATGGAAAATCGACCGTGTGAGTGTGGTCTGCCTCTGGACTGTCCGTTCTCTTCCATTGACCTGTTTGTCTGTCTAGCTACATGCCAGCGCCATTCTGTCCCGACTTGCTGAAACTTCAGTGTTAGTTCGAATTCAAATGTTTTAGGTTCCTTAACTTTGTTCGACCTTCCAAGGACTGTTTTGGTTGAACTAAGTGTTTGCATATTCTTTTACATTTTAGAATAAGCTTGTCAATTTCTACAAAAGACCCACATGAGATTTTGATTAGAATTGTATTGAATCAATAGATCAATTTGAGGAAAATGGAAATCTCAACAATAGTCAGTTTCCAATGTAGGCATACATAGTATATCTTCATAATTATTTGTCTCCTTTAATTCCTCTCAGAAGTTTTAAAAATGGTTTTCTGTGTAGACATCTGGTACATGTTTCTTTACATTTATCCCCAAGTATTTTGACTTTAAACATATCTCATACATATGTGTAAAAAAATTCATCTACCAAGTGTTTGCTGCCGATATTTAGAAATACAATTGACTACTGTATATTGACTTTGTATTCTGCAACTTTGCTAAGCTCAGTGTGCTATATATTTTGCTCAGTGCTTTACAGAATCCCTCCCTCCCTCCCTCCCTCCCTCCCTCCCTCCCTCCCTTCCTTCCTTCCTTCCTTCTTGACCGGGACTCTCTGGTCTGCAAGCCAACGCTCCAACCACTGAGCCAAACCGACCAGGGCCAGTGCTTTACAGAATTTCATGTTTATTCTTGCAGCCACTTTTGAAGCAGGTGCAATCATATTTTAGAAGACGTTTGCCCAGAAATTACATACGATACATTCTTTGCTCAAGGTCATTCAGTGTGTAATTCAGAGTCACAGGGGGACCAGGACTTGAATTAGGTCTATCCTGACTGCCGGGCCCAGTCCCTACAGCAGTATTTCACTTCCTTGATGTTTGGGAATGTGAATGTCCTGACACCGTGTGGCTTCCCTGGAATTTACTGGGACATTTTTGTGTCATCCTGTTCCACAAGGACTTGACTTGGCCATGAGAACCCTTAAAACAGTCACAAGAATAAGGCTATGAAGAGACTGGTGGTTTTTCCAGCTTAAGGAGGGTGGTCAGTGTTCCAGCTTCCTCCGCAGGAGACGCAGTGCCGCTGACGCAGCTGCAGAACTCATCCCCTTCACCGCGGGGTCGGTCCCTTCACCGCAGGGCCGGTCCCCTTCACCGCAGGGCCGGTCCCCTCACCGCAGGGCCGGTCCCTTCACCGCAGGGTCGTCCTCTTCACCGCAGGGCCGGTCCCTTCACCGCAGGGCCGGTCCCTTCACCGCAGGGTCGTCCCCTTCACCGCAGGGCCAGTCCCCTCACCGCAGGGCCGGTCCCTTCACCGCAGGGTCGTCCTCTTCACCGCAGGGTCGGTCCCCTCACCGCAGGGTTGTCCCCTTCACCGCAGGGTCTTGTCCCTTCACCGCAGGGTCGTCCCCTTCACCGCAGGGTCTGTCCCTTCACCGCAGGGTCGTCCTCTTCACCGCAGGGCCGGTCCCTTCACCGCAGGGTCGGTCCCCTCACCGCAGGGCCGGTCCCTTCACCGCAGGGTCGTCCTCTTCACCGCAGGGCCGGTCCCTTCACCGCAGGGTCCGTCCCCTCACTGTAGTGTTGGTCCCCTCACCGTAGTGTCGGTCCCTTCACCACAGGGTCGTCCCCTTCACCTCAGGGTCGGTCCCTTCACCGCAGGGTTCATGCGCCCCCTTTGCTGTTACACCTTCCTTGGGGTGAGGGGGGGACACTAAAGCTGGTCTCCCTCCTTCTCTCCGCCATGTGCTGCAGGAAACCACTTCGGAACAGCCAAGGAGCTCTCAGCGGAGATGGGCTCGCTGGCCGGCGAGAGGGCGGGGCTGGAGGAGCTGCTGCACCAGCTGGCGGCGCTGAGCTCCCGGAACGTGGCGAAGCTGGGGAGGGTGCGAGAGGACTACGGCCGGCTGCGGCGGGAACTGCGCCGTGGGGAGGCGGCCCACGGTAAGGAGCCCCGCGGGGGCCTGGGGCGCACTTGGGAGATGCACGGCTGTGTGGCCCTGAGGTCGCCTGGGGTCGCGCCACTGCAGGGTGGCCTGGGGCCCGCGCCTCCCTGGAGGAGCCTGGGCAAAGGGCAGGCCACTTGGCAGCCTGTGTTGTGCGATCATGTGAAGTCCTTTCTTTTTCTGTCCTCTCCCCCTTCCCTCCTCGGACTTGCTAATGGCCTCGTGATGACGGCCCGCGAGCTCTCCCTTGGCACCGGGCTCGAGAACGTTCTGTCTCACGGTTGTCTTCCTTTTGTTCCCAGGCTCTGCTCCCTGGCTTGACAGTCAGAGAGGGGCAGGCCGGCTGGGGGAACCGAGAGAAGACCTGGGGTTCCTGTGCCCCCGGTGAGCCTTTCTGAGCGCTGCTTCCCGGTAGCTGCCTGTCCGGGGTTCGATTCTGTCCCTTCCCCGCCCCCGTCAAGATGAACTGAGGTCACCTGAGGTTTGCTCCTGGGGATAGTCTCAGAAGATGCCAGTTCACTCCAAACTGATAGAGTGAAAAACGTACTTCTTAGAAAAAGTAAAGAATTTATGATGATTCAGTTTCTTTTCTTTTTTTTTTTTCGGTATATGCCCCTAGCAGGAACCAAACCCAGGACTCTGGTCTGCAGGCTGACACTCCAACCGCAGAGCCAAACTGGCCAGGGCAGATGATTCATTTCTAATATGCAGAACAAAATCATAAGTAAATTCAGATTTAAAATATATTAGCCCTGGCCAGTTTGGCTTCACGGTTAGAGTGTCAGCCTGCTGACCAAAGGGTCATGGGTTTGATTCCGGGCGAGGGCACGTTCCTCGGCTGCGGTTCCGTTCCTGGCTCTGGTCGGGGTCATGCGGAGGCAACCAGTCGGTGTCTCTCTTTCTCCCTCCCACTCTATCGGAAGATAAATGGGGAAAAAAAAAATCCTCGGGTGAGGATTAAAATAAATGAATAAATTAATTAAATATGTTAGATGCTGGAACCTGTTTCTTTACCAGTAAAACGAGAAGAATAATATCTATCTCATAGGAGGATAAAGTGGTACAGATTAAATGAGGTCACTTATCAAGGGTGTGTGTGTGTGTGTGTCCATCCATTCACTTCCCCTAGGAACTCCCAAGTTTTGGAAGGGCAGAGGTCACACATAGCCTCATCATGGTCCCTACATAAATCCTGTTTTCTAGGAAAGTGAGAGACACATATACTGATAGTGATCATATTTACAAAGTATGCTAATTTCAAAAGAAGTGAGAAAAGACTGGGGCTGTTAGGTAGGCAGATTTGAAACCAGCTAGCAGAAATTAGGTGTGTGGTTTTCTGAACACATTTGTTTTAAAGGCTGACTAAATTGCACAGAGAGAGGTTTCTTCACAGAGTTAGATGTTCAGTTGTCACCGTGTCTTTTTAACGACGGACACCCCTGAATTGGCTCAACTTCGCGCTGCTTTGTTCCCCAAGCCCTGTTTTTGCCAAATATGTAACGAGAGCCTTGGTGTATGACGACAGTCCTGAGGAACAGCAGCCGCTCCGTGTGGTTTAGGTTACATGGTAATAAACATTGTATGTTTTAAGTGAATTTTTGCAATCGACTTTTAAAAGTCAATAAACAGTGATAACTACAAAATGTATCATATTGTCCCCACACGATTTTTGGCACAGAATGGGGAATCTACTATATCTAAGAATAGAGATGTGACCAAATCAGACACATTTAATACAGCAGCATCTTAATTTGAACAGTTGAGCTCATGAAAGCCATTAATATCTCTTTAAAAAAAAAAAAAAGAGCTTACAGTTCTTTTTGAATCTCATCATTGTCACTTCACTGAGTATTTTGAAAGTGATGAATAAAACATAAACAAATGGAACGAGAGGGTGTTACCATGGGTGGTACCGCGTCGCAGATGGCTCCTCGCTGTTTCGAGCGCTCTGTGCCTCGGCCGTAGATTTTGCTGGTTCGGCTACCCTTCCTTGTGCCGTGGCCCGAGGCTAATCTTTAACCAGTCTGAGGTGACTTGGCTGTGGGTGAACCAAAGTAATACTCTTGGGTGGGTGAGAGTGTGTGGGGCAAATACATAAATGTCTAATGAATTCCTTAGTTAAAGTTTGTATCTATTGGAAAGCAATAGAAGTGGGCCAAAGTCCATATGCTGTCATTTGTTGGATTTTGAGAGTGAAAAATTCGGAGGGAGCTCTATGGTCAAGTTGAAATGTAGCCCAACCAGTGTGACTCAGTGGTTGAGCATCGTCCAATGGACTGAGAGGTCCTGGTTCAATTCCCGGTCAAGGCATATGCCCAGGTTGATCCCCAGTAGAAGGCGTGCAGGAGGCAGCCAATCAATGTTTGTCTCTCTCTCTCTAAAAAAACAAATCAATAAAAACATACATTTTAAAAAGTTGAAATGTAGAGAAACACATAGGAAGATGCATATGCACGTATGTAGCACGAGCTGACTCTTTTTACTCTTACGTAAAGCATCTTTAAAAAAGACTTTCAGAAATGAGGTGTATGTGATATGCTTGAAAACAGATTTTGATTTCCAGCAATGGCTGCAAAATGCAGCTTTCTGGAGAAAAAGGCCATCCGGGTTAGACGAGCCACTCTGGGGCAGACAGGGCCCCAGACTCTTCTATTTCATTCACCTGTGCCCCTCGACATGTGACGTTCGGTCCAAGACGGCTGACCCAGTCACAGGGATGTTTCTGTAGCAGAGGGGTGATTTGCAGTCTCGGGGATTTTTCGGTGTAGCTCAGGTACAAAGGAAGCAGTCTTAGTGACAGGAAGTGTACCTGTAATGACTCATCATCGATGAACTTGCTTTCTGGATCTCTGACAATATATTAAGTCTTGTGTCTCTGGTTAGTTTGTCCATTCATTGAGGTCAAAGCTTTGTTCCTCTGTTTTATTGGCATCATTGCGATGTCTAGCATGGTGTCTTTAGAAACAGTCAATATACCATAAATATTTGTTTATTTACTGGGGCTAGTATTCCTTTATTCTTGTTACAGACCTACACCTCGGATCTTCTTTAAAAAAATTTTTTTAAAGTTCATTTTCCAATTTATTAAGAGCAGTGACAAGTTTGATATTCTTTCATGGAAGATGCTTGAGTCATCTGAGGCAGATATTCAGACTGGGGTGTCAGCAGACAGAACAGTGTGATGAAAAGGGACCCAAATATGCCAAAGTACTTGTGGGCAAAGGGAGACAGAAATCGTCATTGAATCCATTGACTTCTGTCCCAGGGACACCCTTCTCTGTGAAGAGGGGAGAAAGGGGGTGCTTTAATTCCTACCAGCTGTTCTTACGACTTCAGGGGGACACGTTTGAATTCTGAGCGGTTTTAGGTGCAGTGAGATGGAATGCAAAACGGAATCTATCTTTCAGCCCCTGAATGCTGAGGGAAATTGACTGTGAGCCTTTAATTATTGTGGATGTCAACTTTTTTCTTTTAAGGGAGGGTGGATGAAAAGAGTCAGTAACATTTTTAGTTTGCTACATCTGCTTTTCAGAAAAAAAGACAAACTGAGATTTACAGGACTGTTTTCCCATCCCTGTTGGACTCCGTATTGTACTTTATTAATATTGCGGATTTCACACTGTAACTCAGATATACAGGAAGCAACATCAAGGGGAGAGATTTAATCAGAATAATCAGGGCTAGAATTTTAAATAGGGCATCATTAGCATGTCAATGCATTTTCCCACTTTCTGCCAGCTGCCCTCCTAGAAAAATACTGTTGATGTACTCAAAACCCGCTGGGGCTCTGGCCCAGTGAGCTGTCAGGAACGGAGCGGAAGAGGCTTAAAAAACATTAAGGGGTTGTCAGTGCAAATCTCAAATGGCAGGATTTCGTTTTTTCTGGGAGTGACGGCTGGCCGCGTCCAGCTTAAACTCATTTGCCTTTCGATGAGGGAGGAGGAAGCAGCAGGCAGAGGGGCGGTTCAGGAGCAATCAAGTTGGAGAGGAGTCAACTTGTGAATTATGGTTCGGGGCTCGTTCCCACCTCTTGCTTTAGATTAGAAAGTCCATAGATCCACACGAATACAATCCTGCTCTTACTTGGACGACTTCATAATTTTTTAGCTTGAAATAGCTAATAACAGTAAGCGTCCTCCAGAGAGAGATGAGTGTCTTGAATTCTGAATTGCAGAGGCGAAACTTCTCAAAAATGAATTCATGTCATACTGGTAAGAAAATGCTTTTGGTTTAGAGACCCTGTGCTTTACAAGTCTGCATATCTAGGCAGTAATTCTCTTTCCACATTTATCAGATGTATTTAAAAGTGATTTCCAAGCCCAGCTGGTGTGGGTCAGTGGTTGAGCATCGACCCATGCACTAGGAGGTCACTGGTTCGACTCCCGGTCAGGACACATGCCCAGGTTGTGGGCCTGATCCCCAGTGAGGGGTATGCAGGAGGCGGCCAGTCAGTGTTCTCTCTCATTGATGTTTCTATCTCTCTCTCCCTCTCCCTTCCTCTCTCTCTAAAATCAATAAATAAAAGTGATTTCCGAGAAAAATGAAAAAATTAGACCAGAAGAATAAATTCTGCATGTCTTTTTTTTTTTTTTTTTTTTTTTGTGGGTAGAGGAAATGAAGAACTGGAAATATATATATTAAAAATACCAAATTTAACAAATAAAAAAAGTTGAGACAGAAGAAAATGCCGAGGACAAGTGTTAATTATGTTGGTTGAGAATATGATGTCACGATGAGCTTCCCAGAAGCCAGAACAGAAAAGGCAGTTGGAGCATCAGCTGTCCTCCTTGGAAGCAGCCGGAAGCACCAGGTTTTCAGGACTGTGGAGTGGTGTTCAATTCTTACGCTATTTTATTTTATTTTTGAGAGTACAGTGGAAAGTCCTCATACCCTGCAGATGTGCCTTTCCTATGGCTGTTACCAGCCGTCTCTAGGAGAAAAAATTAGGGGATACCTTCAGAAGTAGGGTTCATGATGGACGGACTGAACACAGATTTCAGATCTGTAGGTATGTACATGTTTTTTTCCACAAAAAAATAGCTTTTCAGCAGACTCTCCAAAGAGTCATTCCAAGTTTTCCCAGCATTTCAGAAGCAGTGTGTTCATGGGCCACACCGTGGGCGTGAATCGGTAAGAACTCGGGCTCACGCCCGGTGGTCTGAAACGATTAGAAGACGAACCGGAAGGAGTGGCTCAAGGTCATGTGCTGCAGAATCAGCAAAGTCCCCTCTTCCTCTGAGCTTTGACTGTGGAAAACTTGGCTGCCCTTGACCACAGGACCAAACTCTTTGTCTTAGAACCAGGTTCTGTTTGTGGGGAACATAGAGTGTTATAGGGAAATATCTGTGTCTACCTTCCTAAGTTGGAAATCTTTGTTCATATTAAAAATATATGTAATACAAACTTTTGGAGGAAAACTTCTTCTTAAAAACTTCAAGATTCTTTTTTGTCAGGTTTTACCATGGGCATGGTTTTCACATCTCTAAGCATTTATTTTTGATTTATTAATCAGTTTATTTATTATTTTATTAGGATCTCAGTTAAATATGTATTTGCATTTTTAATTTCTCTCCTTTTTTTTTCTTTTCTTTCTTCTTTACAGTTGTACCCTTGCATCACTAGTATAGCTATTTTTCTTCAGCCACTTTGCCTATGAATTCCTAAGCCTGAAATTTGCAATTACTTTCCTTTCCCTTTTATTAAATAATTGTGACAGTTCTTTTGGGAGACATCTCCACAACAGTGTAAAAAGCCTATATTGGTGTCAACAGTGATCAGCGCCAGATGTTAGACCTCGGTCCTTGAGTTTGGCTAAGAAAAGAATTCATAGCCAAGGAATTCAAATACAAGCAAAAGTTTATTTAGAAAGTCACAGAGGTAGAAGTGAGTCTTGGAAGAAGTGAGCCAGCTGGGCTGTGTGGACTCAGGAAGCAAGTTACAGAGGCGAAAGAAGGGCCCTTAGAGATTAGGAGAAAGCAAGCAAAGGTACATGCCTTGAGAAAGGTATACACCTTGAGGAAAGAAAGGCGTGGGAGAGGGAGAGAGGAAGAGGAAGAGGGAGAGAGAGAAGAGGGAAAAGGAGGAGGGGAGGAGAGCGAGAACAACGCTGGGTCCTGTTTTGTGGGGTTTTTTTTATCCTCACACGAGGACATTTCTGCATTTACCTTCGGATAGAGCGGGAGGGAGAGAGGGAGGAAGAGAGAGAGAGAAACATTGATGTGAGAGAGACACATCAACTGGCTGCCACTCACACGACCCCAGCCCCGGTCCGGGGACAAACTGCAACTGAGGTACGAGCCCTTAGCGGGAACCGAACCTGGGTGTCTCTGGTCCACAGGCCGATGCTCTAACCGCTGAGCCAAACTGGCCAGGGCCCTCCTCTGTTTTGAAATGTTCCTGGATGAGAGCAGAACCATCTCAGCTAACAACTTCAGCACTATGTTATTATTTGAAAATGTATTGTTATTATTATTAGAACTTAACTGGAATTAGTAGAACTTAATGCTCTTATTCATATTATCTTTTATATAGATCCTTATAGGTTTAAAAAGTTATTTTAAGATTTCTTCTCCCTTTGCTCTTTATTATATATATTGAGCATGTATCCTCGGGCGTCTTGCTGTGCGCCAAGATCAGCTGTGGCTATAATGGACCGAATGTGTTCTTTGAAAGGAAGGAAGGATCCCTGCACGCTGTCACTTTCTCTTCGGCAACAGATGTTGACTGCTTTCCTGTTTGTTCTTAATCGCCCACTCCAGCCAGGCACGGAGCTAGGCCTGGCCATACCTGTAGTGCCCAAATCCTTCGGACACTTTGTGTGTCTCCTTTCTACAGGTGAGGATGCTGAGGCTTAGAGAGGATTGGCACCTTGTCCAAAGTCACATGGACGTGAGGGGTTGGAGTCAGGATTTGAATCTTTTTTTCCCCTGGAATTTTACCCTTTCCATTGTTTTATGTTCTTTATGAACTTGAGTCCTAACATGAGCTTCTCTACCCATCCCTTCACCTCACCACGCCAACCTAAATACGGTGCTCACAGAGCCAGGGGTATGAAACAGAAGCCTGCTAAAATTAATCTCTGATTGATGTTGAGTGTCCTGAAAACACAGGTTTTATTTATTTTTGAAATTTCTAAGTACACTCTTTATATTTTGGTGCCTGAAATGAAGATCCACTATTTGCAATTTTATTAGACCAGATAGATCATTTAATTTGGTAGGAAGTTCTATTACCTTTATGATAATCGCACGTTTTTCTTTGTTAAAACCCAAATCTTTAATTGTTGAAGGATGACTAAGAGGGATTTAGCATACTGTAACACATGAGAAAAAAGTTGAACTATGGCGATTGAATTAGATATCTATTGGTTAACTTTAAATAACTTTTTGATATTATTTCAAAGACCCGTTGATAATAATGCTTCCTGTTCTGAAATGCTTACATGCAATGATTTCCTCTGAGGTCCTGTAAGCACAGCCATCAGCGAGCAGACCGGTACACTCTGCAGTTTCTAGGAGCGGATTCCTGCAACCCTTTTTGCCTGTAAGAGTTTACTAACACGTCATCCTATTGATTACAACAAATTCAACTGGCAAAATGTGATGGCCACCTTTCTAAGCTTCTATTGAGTGAATTTTTGAACTTCAAATAAAACACCATTTAAAATATTCTATAATTCAGAGCTTTGAAGAACGAAGATGGATTTTTTTAACTGAGTCCAATTTTGTGAGGTTTTCACAGAGTTCATTTTGTTGGTGCTAACTATGACATCTATTATGCTGTCAGTTTTCCAGTGATTAATTTGGTAAGAAATACCTTGTTTCCTCTTTGGCATTGCCGTGAATTATGGCTTCCTGCCATGTGCGCTGTGCACTTCCTCTTCTTTGAAGCTGCCATATGTTTAGCAACCCAAGAGAGACACTGCTTTTCTGAGAGATCATCATTTGTTCATTTGACTTTTCAGGGGTTCTTACTCTTGTGGAGGGGGGGAGAGCATGATGGTAAATGCTTTCCTGTCCTGACTGCTTTGCTACCCTGGGGTCCATGTACCTTTGCGTTTGGGACGGCCATCCTGCCCCGCCCACTTTCCCCCAGATTTTTATATAATTGGGGAGGGTTGGATCACTGTAGGGTGGACAATCCTAAGCCACTGCACAACAATTTAACCTTTGTAGCATGGCATCAAGAGTGGCCTCAAGATCTACTGACTTGACATCATTAAAAATGCATACACTAGATGTGCGCACGTAGTTATAGAATGCCATTTTATTTTTCTTTTAACATTATGCTTTTTGAAGTCTTTGTAATTCATTGACAGAGGACTGCGTACTTTGCTTTCAGATATAATTAAACCCAAAATTTGTTATTCTGTTTTTATTTGCCAAAATTTTGGTTATTTTAGCGTATTTTGACCATATCTCTTGTCCTATGTGTTATACTTCATGTATCCCTAAATATTATATCACTCTTCCTCAAGAAAGAACTAATGCAATTATTTTATGATTTCAGGGTACACAGTACTTAATAAAGGAAGCCCTGGTTTAGTTCAGACAATGTGACTGAAATCTTGAGCTTCTTTTTAACTCTCTGTCCCAGCATTTGACTTTGGTCAACATGTCCCAACTGTATTGACGAGATGGATAATTATAGTTTGGCCTTCACCCAACCCCATTTATTTATTTATTTATTTATTTATTTATTTATTTATTTATTTATTTAAATTTAATTTTATCCTCACCCGAGGACATTTTTTCTTTTCTGTTCAGATAGAGTGGGAGGGAGAGAGAGGAACAGAGAGAGAGAGAAACATCGACGTGAAAGGGGCACATCGAGTGGCTGCCTCCTGCACAACCCCATCCAGGGCCGGGGACAAACTGCAACCGAGGTACGTGCCCTTAGCGGGAACCGAACCCAGATTTCTGTGGACTGCGGCAGATGCTCTAACCGCTGAGCAAACTTGCCAGGGCCCATTTATTTTTTAATTAAAAACATTTCTTTTTTGGTTTTTAGAGAGAGAGGAAGGGAGAGGGAAAGAGAAAGATTGATGTGAGAACAGAACAATGATTGGCTGCCTCGGGCACGCCTCCCACCAGGGATCAATCCCACAACCTGGGCATGTGCCCTGACAGCGAATCAAACCTGCAACCTTTTGGTGCACGGGACGATGCCCAACCAGCTGAGCTACACGGGCCAGGGCCACCTCATTTTATTTTTTAGAGACTGAGGAATAGTAGGAGCTGGATACCAACCTCCATGTCTGCTCTTCGAAGCCCACCAAACACTGGAATTCCCCAGTGGTCTGGGATCCTGAGAACGTGTCAACCTGTGGAGGCAAAGTGATGTTTCCTTTAGATTATACAAGAATCCTCTGAAGTTGAAGCTTATAAAATTCCTAAACTTGCTCTAGTATTTTCCCCCCAATTTTTAATTTATTCCATAAAAGAGATCATATTTATCACAAGAATAAAACCCATTTTTAAAACAAAAAATGTTCACTAGAGCCCTGGCCAGTGTTGCTCAATGGTTAGAGCATTGGCATTGGCCTGAAGACTAAAGAGTCTCGGGTTTGATTCCGGTCAAGGGCACATACCTTGGCTACAGCTCGGTCCTTGGCCCTGGTAGGGTCTTGTGGGAGGCATCCAATCAATGTCTCTCTCTGTCTCTCTCTCCTTCCCTCCCACTCTATCTGAGGATAAATGGACAAATATCCTTGGGTGAGGATTAAAAAAAAGTCCACTAGTGCTCGCTTCGGCAGCACATACACTAAAATTGGAATAATACAGAGAAGATTAGCATGGTGCCTGCTCAAGGATGACACGCACCTTTGTGAAGCGTTCCATATTTTTTTATCATTCAAAATTGAAGGAGAAATAAAGAGCTTCATGGATAAAAAAAAGCTAAAGGAAATTACCACCACCAAACCAGCACTGCAGGAAATGCTGAAGGGACTGTTGTAAGAAGAAGAGAAAGAGAGAGAGAGACAGAGAGAGAGAGAGAGAGAGAGAGAGAGAGAGAGAGAGAGAGAGAGGAGCACAGGCATAAAATTGAAATGGCAACTAATAAATATCTATTAATTACCTTAAATGTAAATGGCTTAAATGCTCTAATCAAAAGACATAGGGTAGCTATTGGATAAGAAAACATGACTCATATATATGCTGTCTACTAGAGACCTGCCTCACAACAAAAGACTCACACAGGATGAAAGCAAAGGGATAGAAAAAAATTTTACAAGCAAATGAAAATGGAAAAAAAGCTGGTGTAGCAATACTCATATCTGACAAGATAGACTTCAAAACAGGGGCCATAATAAGAGACAGAGAAGGTCACTACATAATATTAAAAGGAGCAATCCAACAAGAGGATATAACCCTGGTAGACATATATGCACCAAATACGGGAGCACCAAAATATATTAAAAAACTTCTGGAGAACTTCAAAGGAGAGATCAATAGCAACACAATCATAGTGGGTGACCTTAACACACCACTGACATTGCTGGATAGATCTTCTAGACAAAAAATTAATAAGGACATGATAAGGACATAAAATCCTTACAAGACAAACTAGATCAGTTGGACCTAATTGATATTTACAGAACATTTCACCCCAAAGCTACAGAATATACATTCATCTCAAGTGCACATGGGTCATTCTCAAAGATAGACCACATGTTAGGACACAAAGCAAGTCTCTACAAATTCATGAAAATTGAAGTCATATCAAGCATCTTCTCAGAGCACAGTGGCATGAAACTAGAACTCAATTACGATAAAAACACACAACAAATTCAAACACTTGGAGGCTAAATAGCATGTTATTAAACAATGAATGGGTTACTAATGAAATCAAGGAAGAAATTAAAAACTTCCTGGAAACCAATGAAAACAAACACACAACAACACAAAATCTATGGGACACAGTGAAAGCAGTCCTGAGAGGGAAGTTCATAACACTACAGGCCTACCTCAAGAAAAAAGAAGAATTCCTAATTGACTATCTTACCCTACAACTTAAAGAACTAGAAAGTAAACAAAAAGAAAAACCCAGACCTAGTAGGAGGAAGGAAATAAAGGTCAGAGTAGAAATAAATGACATAGAGACTAAAAAAATTTCAAAAGATCAGTGAAACAAAAAGCTGGTTCTTTGAAAAGATAAACAAGATCGATGGACCTTTAGCCAGACTCACCAAGAAACAAAAAGGGAGAAACCAAATAAACAAAATCAGAAATAAAAGGGGAGAAGTAATAACTGACACCACAGAGATACAAAGGATCATCAAAACATACTATGAACACTTATGCGCCAACAAATTTGACAATCTAGGAGAAATGGACAAATTTCTAGAAAATCACAACCTCCCAAAACTGAACCAGGAAGAGATAGAAAACTTGAACAGACCAATGACAACAAAGAAAATTAAAGATGTAATCAAGAAATTCCCAGCAAACAAAAGCCCAGGCCCAGATGGCTTCACAGGGGAGTTTTACCAAACATTCAAAGAAGATCTAATACCCATTCTTCTCAAACTATTCCAAAAAATCCAAGAAGACAGAACACTTCCAAATTCATTTAATGAGGCCAGCATAATCCTAATTTCAAAACCGGATGAAAACACTACAAAGAAAGAAAACTACAGGCCAGTATCCCTGATGAAAACAGATGCCAAAATTCTTAACAAAATACTAGCAAATCGGACCCAGCAATACATCAAAAATATTATTTGTCATGACCAAGTGGGTTTCATCCCAGGCATGCAAGGATGGTACAATTTTGCAAATCAATAAATGTGATACACCACATAAACCATAAACAAAAGGAAAGATAAAAACCATATGATCATATCAATAGAAGCTGAAAAAGCATTCGACAAAATCCAGCACTCATTTCTGATAAAAACATCAGCAATGTGCGAATAGAGGAATTATATCTCAACATAATAAAGGCCACATATGAAAAACCTACAGCCAACATCATACTCAATGGGCAAAAACCAAAAGCATTCCCCTTAAGAACGGGAACAAGACAGGGATGCCCACTTTTGCCACTCTTATTTAACATAGTGCTGGAAGTCTTAGCCACAGCAATTAGATGTGAAAAAAATAAAATAAAATAAAGGGGATCCAAATTGGAAAGGAGGAAGTGAAACTGTCATTATTTGCAGATGACATGATATTGTATATAGAAAACCCTAAAGACTTCATCAAAGATCTACTGGACTTAATAAATGAATTTGGCAAAGTAGCAGGATACAAAATTAACGTCAAGAAATCGACAGCATTCTTATACACCAATGATGAAATCACAGAAAGAGAAACTAAAAAGACAATCCCATTTACCATTGCAGCAAAAAAAAATTAAGATACCTAGGAATAAACTTAACCAAAGAAGTAGAGGACCTCTTCACAGAAAACTACAGGTCATTGAAAAAAGAAATAGAGGAAGATATAAAAAGTAGAAGCGCATACCTTGTTCATGGATTGGAAGAATTAACATCATTATAATGTCCATACTACCCAAAGCAATCTATAGATTCAATGCAATCCCCATCAAAATACCAACGACATACTTCACAGAACTAGAACAAACACTCCAAAAGTTTATATGGAACCAAAAAAAGAACCCGAATAGCCACAGCAATCTTGAAAAAGAAGAACAAACTAGGAGGGATCACAATACCAGATTTCATGGTATACTACAAAGCCACTGTAATCAACACAGCCTGGTACTGGCACAAGAACAGGCAGATAGATCAATGGAACAGAACAGAGAACCCAGAAATTGACCCAAGACAATATGCTCAATTAATACTTGACAAAGGTGGCAAGAGCATACAGTGGAGTCAAGACAGTCTCTTCAATAAATGGTGTTGGGAAAATTGGACAGCTATATGCAAAAAAATGAAGCTAGAACACCACCTTACACCACACACGAGAATAAACTCAAAATGGATAAAAGACTTAAATGTAACTCGTGATTCCATAAAAATTCTAGAAGAATATGTAGGCAACAAAATCTCAGACATCATACACACCAGAATTTTCACTGATACAACACCTAAGGCAACAGAAACAAATGAAAATGAACACATGGGACTACATCAAACTAAAAAGCTTCTGCAAAGCAAAAGAAACAACCATCAAAACGGAAAGGGATCCCACTGTATGGGGAACCATAATCGCCAATGATGCATCAGACAAGGGGTAATTTCCAAAATACATAGAGTGCTCACACAGCTCAACAAAAAGAAGACAAAGAACCCAATTAAAAAATGGGCAGAGGACCTAACTAGACACCTCTCCAAAAAGGACATACAAATGGCCAAAAGACATATGAAGAAATGCTCAACATCACTAATCATCAGAGAGATGCAAATTAAAACAACTATGAGGTATCACCTCACACCTGTCAGAATGGCCGCCATCAACAAATCATCAAACAAGTGTTGGCGAGGGTGTGGAGAAAAGGGGACTCTAGTACACTGCTGGTGGGAAAGCAGACTGGTGCAGCCACTATGGAAAACACTATGGTGTTGACTCAAAAAGTTAAAAATTGAACTGCCATTTGACGCAGTGGTCCGACTTCTAGGAATATAGCCTAAGAAACCTGAAACACCAATCAGAAAGAATATATGTACCCCTATGTTGATAGCAGCACTATTTACAATAGCTAAGATCTGGAAACAACCCAAGTGTCCATCAGTAGATGAGTGGATTAAAAAGCTGTGGTACATATACACAATGGAGTACTATGCAGCTCTAAGAAAGAAAGATCACTTATCCTTTGAGATGGCATGAAAGTACCTGGAGAGTATTATGCTAAGTGAAACAAACCAAGCAGAGAAAGACAAATGTCACATGATCTCACTTATTTGTGGAATATAATGAACTAAACAAACTGCTGAACAAAATTAACCCAGAGACATGGAGGTGGGGTAAAGGCTGACAAACCTCCGGGGGGGGGGGGGATTTGTGGGGGAAGAGATAAACCACAGAACTTATAAGCATGTATGCATGACCAATGAACATAGACAACAAAGCTGGGGATGGGGCGGCGGGGAAGGGGAAGAGGGTGTCAATGGGGGAAAAATGAGAAACATTTGTAACAAAAACAAATATTTAAAAAATTTTTTTAAAAAAGTCCACTATTTAGGTCCTCTGCCACTTCTCGACCAGAGCCCCTGCTTTTGTTTTTAGTGTGCCTCTCCGCCTAGAGCCCCTGAGGACTTTTCCACACTTGTGCTCAGAGTGTGGGCACAACCGGACCTTGCCTCTCTGCCCCACGTGGCAGTAGTGAAGGGGTTGCACCCCTCAGTCCTCACAGCTGTCGGCTGGGATGGGTTCAGCCTCCCCGTTCTGCAGCGGCTGCAACAGGCTCGGTGAGCTGCAGAGGGGCCGCGGGGAGCTGGGCGGTGACTCACACCTGTGTGGCCCCGGCCACACGCACGCAGGCGCTTAGCTTCCCTGTAACACAGCGTTCCAACTTCTTACCTATGATCTTTATCATAGTCCCAGGGTCAGTGTACCACAAGGTATGTAGCTAACCCCTTATTTTGATGTATTTAATGACCATTTTATGAATTTCTTTCTGGGGGAAAAAAAAGGCAGATTGGATTTACTGGGCCTAAGGGCATAATCATTTGTGTGGCTTGGTACGTGCTGTAAATTGATTTTCAAAAGGATTACACCAGTTTAATTGCTACTACCAATCCAGCCTTTCTAATACTCGATAGTATTTCTTCCAAAATTATTAGTATTATAAAAGTAATAACGTGGTTTTAATTCATGCCTCACTTTTGCATGCATTTGACTAATAGTGAGGTTGAATTTGCTAAGTTTTGTGCCTT